ACTATCTGAGAACTCAGTGTTCACTTAACTCTTTGACTGTTTCTCTATTTCTTATGTGTTGTTTACATGTTCAGATATCTCAGTAAAAAATTATTTCTAATGAGAAGATAATGTATGAATAATCATTTCTAATAAGAAGATGATGAATATTTTTCTAGTATAAGAGGCCTACACTGAATAGATCAGTATAATATTATAGGTCTTATATAACAAAGAGAAAAATGTTAGAGAAGAAAAGAAAGAGAAAGTGCAAGAATCAGCAATCAAAGTAGATATTTATACACATATGTGGTGATGTACACGGTGGAGCTTCAGGGCGGAAGAATATACATGTGTTTGTAGCAGCTGAGAATCAGTGATCAGAACATACATGTTCATAGCAGCTGAGAATCAGCGATCGGGAATGAGGCGGTAGGAATCTATGAAGTGTACAGAATAGTCTATATGATTGATTGAGTGCAGCCCGCCACATATGATAATATAAACTTCAAGAAGACTATATGAGATGAGATAATCAGATATAATGATTTCATAACTACTGTAACTACTACTACTGTGATTATTTCTCTCAATATTTCAGAAACTAATCTAACTCAGATCATGCATGATTTCACAAGACTATTAACACTGTAAGAAATCATTGATGCATCTGATATGACAGATAATAATAATGAGCTTTAGAAGTAAATAATATCATGTCTTATTTCAGATGCTGTTCAAAAGATTTATAATAATGAGATTAAAAGTGTTTTCAGTACTGTAAATGATTTATTATCTCAAATGTCTATTATTAATACACTTTCTGTGCATAGAATGTGTTTTCAGCAGTTGAGTGCTATTTTTGAAAATGAGAACACTATTGCAGAAACTATGAGAGTTCATGAGAAGATATTTAATGATTTTCTTAATTTATCAAGAGATTATACAGCATTTTCAACTCATCTCTTTTCAGTGTATGAAGATGCTTTAATTATAAAACTTATTCAGTCAGTCAAGATAAAGCAGTCAAAATCTACAGATATCTTTGAACAGTGTAACTGACTTTATTCTATTTCTGAATGATTTTATATTCAAATGAATCTACTCTTTATTATTGTCTATACTCATTTTGAAGCTGAAGTCTCTGAGAAGACTTATCACTGTATTCAGTTCAATCTCACTCATTAAAACTGAAATTCTATGACTGTCATCAATCTGAAATATCATCTTCTTAAGCCAGTGATTTCTCAGAGCTTCATATCTCAAAGTCTTACTCTATTTTATACTGCTATGTAATATTAAGATTATTCAGTTAGCAATCTTAAGTGCTCAGAAGATATCAATTCTATTATATAACAGCTTAATTCTTCACAGTATCTTTAGTTTATTGAAGATGTATATATCAAAGTATTTACTCTTAATATCTGAAATGAAATTGACTCTCAAATCTCTCAGCTCACTCAAGATATTGAATTTCATATCATATATTGTCTTCTCTAAGAATATGAATTATTTATTTGAATACACTATACTATTAAGTATGATGATATTGAACTTCTTGAGTACTTTATTTTATCTCTGATTATCTTCTTTCTTGATACTGATCAATATAATTATGTTACTGAGATGCTTCATTATTTTTGAATACTTCAATTCATCAAAATCTCTTCTCTGCATTGAGTGATTATAACTGTAAGTCTTATTAACTGGTCTGAAAAACTCAGCTTCTTCAAAGTAATTGATTTAGATATGAAACATCTCAATGATAGCTGTAAGCTGAAGATGAAATACTATAAAAATTCAATAAAGAATATCTATCTTATATTTGATTAAGTCTGTCTGTCAAATACATGAGTTCATCAGCTACAGTGAATTTTAGAGTCTATCTTTGAGTGTTCACTTATTGAGGAATATATAAGTGCTGTTACTAAGCTTGAGATATTCTCTACTGCTAGAAGTCTGTTAAAGAATAATTATATCTTATCTTGAGATTTACTTTTACTGTCAAAGAAACATATGTTTGACTTCTTGAATATACTTTTGATTGAAGTGAAAGATCTGAAGAAGAAGATTAAACACTTTAATCTAGTATGAATTCAGCAGCAGTTGATTGCAATGAACTTGAATTTGAATGATATGATTATTAATGCTGAAGTTAAGTCTTATTCTGAGAAATTCAATAATAATATAGAGTAAGATTCTATTTTTATTGAAAATATACTATCTTTATCTACTGTAAATAATCTATCTGATACTTTGAAAACAATTCTGAAGAAGAATAACTAAAATTAATGAATATACTGAAGCTTTACTTACTTCATCTTCATTTAATATACAATGTTACATTTTCACTGATAAATATATTAATAATAGAACTTCTGTATTATTCTGTCAACTTGTGAGCTAATTAAATATCAAGATTTAAAATAAATATGACTAACATCTGACAAATTTTATTTTTAAGATATCATTTTTCAATATCAACTAATTTATATTTATAACTAATACTTATAAAGAATGCTTATATAGAATCTTCAATATATTCATTTATACAGATTACTTATTTATTAGAGTTCTACTTAAAATCTTCTTTATAAAGCAGAGTAGTATAAATAAAATAAGAATCTAAACTATCAGAGCACTGCTTCTCAGTGAAGAAGAAGATAATCTCTTTGACAGTAATTAATGTAATTGTATTGATGAGAATGCACTGAGATTCTTAGACTTATATTTAAAGATGCTATACTCACTCTTGTATACAATAACTCAGCAGTGAGAATAAGAATCTCTGAACTTGACTATCTGAGCTCTTTTCTTCTCAGAGTATATTTAACATTTCTCATTATTCTCTTGATAGATAATATATCTATTCTTTTCCAGCAGCTGCTTACTCAGCTCTGTCTTCATTATTCAGTTAATATAATCTCACACTCTCTGCTTCTGCAGAGAGAAGCACTGAAACTTCTTGTAAAAGACTGATTATCATTTTTCTGATTTCTGAGACTGATAGAATGATGAGCTCTTGCTTATCATTCAATTTCAACTCTATCTTGACTGACTTATCAGCTGTGTCTGCTCTCAACAGACATGGCTGATGAATGAAGTGTTGAAAAGAAGAGAAGTGTTATATTCTTTCCCTATCATATATATCTCATTCATATTCATATTGCTTACTTAGTTAGTTCTGACAGAACTTCTTTCTCTGCAAAGAACAGAGAAGAGAAGAAGTCTGAGAAAGAGAAAGAGAAGTGAGAGCAAGAACTGCTATATAATAATATTAGCTTCTTATTCTCTTATCATATTATGCTCATTTAGAGAGAGCTTTTCACATCTATCTGAACAAGTTCAGCTCATCATCTCTGTTCTTCAAAGAAGGAAGAGAAGTCTCAGACACTTTCTCATCCTCACCCTCATGGGCGAGGGCGAGGGTGAGGGTGAGGGCAGAGAGATGAGAGCAGGCATGAGTGCAGGCATGAGGGAGAGGACTAATTGTCAGAGTTAGTATTTCATTTCATTCTCATTATACTTTTCATACTGAATAGACATGTACAGTGAACAACAAACTCTGTCAGAGTGAAGTTATTCACACAGAATAGCTGCAGCAGTAGTAAGTATATTCTTTTCACTGATGAGAAAGCAGAGTGAGTGCATTCACATCAATGTTGCAGGAGAAAGAGATGCCATATTGATTTTTTTGAATCATGAAGAAGAAGAAAAGAAGAAGAGAAGAAGAGAAGAAGAGAAAGAAAGAAAAAAAAGATTCAAAAATATTAGTATAGTGTTATTCATTTCTTCTTCAATATAGTGAATTTATCTTCTCACTCATTAACTAATTTGATAGACTTAGAAGTTCACACAACTTTAAAGAAATTCACAGATGTTTACAAAAGATCAGTGAAGTTAAAAAAAGATCAAAGATCTCATTGCCTTGCAGTATCATTTCCCTCAAAGATCTCATCACCTTGCAGCATCATTTTCCTCGAAGATCTCATCACCTTGTGACTGCGTGATAATCAGTATTTCCTCATTCTCATTCTCTGCTAGTAATGAGAAGCTTTTCATACTCTTCAAGCTATGTACTGTTTTTCTCAATCTCATTGATCTGAAAGTTCACAGAACTTTGAAGAAGTTCACAGATATTTACATGAGATTTCATTGATCTAGAAGTTTGCAGAACTTTGAAGATCATGATAACTTGAATAGCTGGCATCTTCATTCATTTATGAGCTATGATTATTATCTCAACTCAGGTGTCACTTCTTATTGCTTGTTTTACTGTCAGAGACAGAGAGCATGACAATCATGAAATTTAATAATGCTTTTTTGATTGATTCCGTGTCATCTGTGAATGCTATACTTCTTTCCTCATTCAATACAGTTACACTTGAACTGCTTTCAGACTGTGATCTTGAATGTGTGAACTGCTAGAGCAAGATGCTATTTGAAGCTTATTAAGCTTAGAAGAAAATCTTTGACAGTTTTTAAGTCAGTTACATGAGCTATATTCACTTTTTGAAGTGAAGTTCATATCTTTAAGATATCAAGATTTAAGTGAGAAAACAATCTCATTGTTCTGCAGTATCTGAGTTCACACATTGATTATCTTCAAAAGATAGTTTCAGGTTAGAAAGAAGCTGCGCTTTCATGATTATCATAGACTCAGAAACCTTTAAGTTATAGTTATTAAGAACTTTGTCAGTTGTGTGAGCAAGATTGAGTTTTGACTCTTCAACTGCTTTGTAACATTCAATCAGATGTATGACAGCAAATTTGATCATTGATGCAGTTTACAGCTTATTAAGCTTAAAAGAAAATCTTTGATGATCACACAGCAGAATTGAAAGAATAGTATCTTATTAATCATTTAAAATAAAGAAAAAAAGAAAAAGGAAAAGAAAGAAGATATTAAGAGAAAAAAAAATAAAAACAAAAATAAAAATAAAAGTAAAAGTAAAAGTAAAAACAGCAACAGTAACAGAATACAAAGCTACTTCTCAATAATTCTCTCATCAATCTTACAGTCAACAGGATTCACTCAACCGCTCCACCATGAACTCGCTCGATTTTTCGAATAAGAACCCGCCGATAGATCCATCGAAAAGCCCTCGATCATACGAGCATTTTGACCCCATCGCCGACCGCATACCCTGTGTGGTGGTGGAGTTATCCAGCCAAATGTGAACCAGACATTGTTCAAAACTCCTGTGTGGGATTATCCCCCATTCTCCCCTACCACACCACAACCCCGGGCCAAATTGCCATGCAAATTGTAAGGTGAAGAGACCTAGCCATATGCACCAATCTTCTCGATTTTGGAAGATCCCCGATCTGTAGTTGTGGAGATATCTGAGGAGCGTCCTCCGCGAAAACCCTGTCCATCTTTGATGTTCCAAAACACCAACGCCAAGTCCCACCCTCGTACCGCCCTTCCTAATCTGGCCCATCCCTGGCAGAAAAATACAAAAAGATACCTCAGCGATAATATCAAGCACATAATCAATGGCCACTTCTGAAGTGCAACCTCCGCGGTCTGTCTTCAGTGTATCTAGACATCAACACCAAGTCTCACCCTCATACCACCCCTCTCAATCTGGCCCATCCCCGGCAGAAAAGTACAAAAAGATACCTCAGCAACTGTATTTGATACATAATCGGCAGACACAACAACTATAAAATCAGTATACCCCAAGGTCTGACTGAGCCTTTGATCCCTGCACAGTGAGATATATTAAATCTAGTTTTAATATCTCAATATTCAATAGATTCTGCAAGGGATTGAGAACAGCAACACTAGGTTTCTATTGAATTTGAGAATTAACTCTATATTGATATAATCATTGACAAAGTCTTCTATTTTGAGATATAAATAATCAGTTTCTCTACATTTCACTGACAATATTTATATTATTATATAGAAACAGACTTATATTCTCTATAATATCAAGACTCTGAAGAGAGAAAGTCTTGATAGAGAGTATACAGTAGTGTATATCTTAGCAGTTTCTATCTCATTCTTCTGCAGCAGTTAATGCAAAAAAAAAAAAAAGATCTTAGAAATAGTTTTTTACTTCTCTTGAAAAAGTAAGGTATTTTTCTCTGAGTTTTACACAATATTCTTATAAAGAATTAAAAACAGAGCTGTTTTCTGTCATAATTTTATATTCTTTTAAGTAAGAATTACTTTTTCAGTAGCTGAAGAGCTTTCATTAATACTTAATTCTTTTTTATACTCTTTATTAACTGATTTGAGTTGCACACTTGTTGTGTGAGAAGAATTGAATGATTTAGAATAAAATTGAATAGTTTTAATCAATTTCTCTGCAAAAAATTGATTTATTTTTTATCAGTTTTTCTCTTAAAAACTGTTATATCATCTGATTTATTATCAATTGATATTATACTTTTCCTCACTATATCTCAAGAAAGAGATTGTAAAGATTTTATTGATTTATCTTAAAAATCAATTTTAGTTTATTAGATTGTCTTCAAAAATCTAACCTAGTTACTGAACTGATGTGAAAAAAATCAGGTGTTTTATATATAAAAGTCTTTTATTCTTCTTTTGAAACAGTCTGACCAACTTTTCAATTCAAAAGAGTTTAATAAATATTTCATTTGAAACAGTCTGATCAACTTTTCATTGAGTAAGAATAATGAGTTCAAAAGTACACTCAGTTGATGTGAAAAAAGATGCTTTTTCAAATGCTATTCCTGAGATTGAAATTCTGAAGAGAAGAAAGAAAGAAGAAATAGAGAAACAACAAGTTCTTGAAATACAGAAACTTGAAAAAGTAAGTAAAATTCTTGAAAAGCAGTGTCTGAGTGAGATGAATGAAGAAGTTCTGTTAATTCTTCATGCTCAGACTAGACAACTACAGAAGATGATCAAGTTCAAACTTGGAATTTCAAACACAGTTCAAAAAACATTGAAAATTCCTAGTACAATCACTGACTTCTCATCTTGCTCTTCTTCCTTCTTTTCTACTTCTTCTTCTTCTTCTTTGAATCAGAAGAAAACATATGCTCAAGCAGCTGAATCTGCTGTCTCTAAATCTGCTATCTCAAAACATGCTTAAAATCCTGAGAAAACTGAGAAGAATAATGCTCATACTTCTATTGATAGAAAAGTGAAGAAAAAAATACAAAAGAAGAAAAACTTCCAAATCTCCAGAAATAGAAGACTTATTCTCAAAGTCTCAAACCAGGACATCTTGCAAAGAAACAAGCTAAACTCAAATCTCATTTTCAGAATTAGAAATGAAATTAATCAGCAGTTCTTTTCTCAGTTAATGACTGATATTAAAGTTCAAAAACCAGTTATAGCTTCAATTGAGCCATTCTTCTTTGAAAACTCTATCATTCTGACTACAATGTCTGAATTCAGTGCAGAATTCCTTATTCAGAATAAGAATCTCTGAAAATCAGCAGTAGAATCTTTGTTAAACACAACAATTCTATCTGAGAGAGATGAAAAGTGAGACAAATTCATTCTTCATGATATTCCAGTTGAAATTTTTGACTGTGAAGAAGGAATGCTACTTCTCAAAAATGAATTAGAAGAATACAACTCTATTCAACTGAGAAAAGAGCCTGTATGACTAAATTCAATTGAGTTCAGATAAAGTAGAAGAAATGCCTCTGTTCTAGTATATACAAAAACACTTGAACAGTCAAAGATCTCTGAAGTAAGAGTAGCAGGTTTGAAAATGAGAGTTCATGAATACAAAGACTTAAGAATGAATCTCAAAGCTCAAACACAGTGTTCAAACTGTCAAAGATATGAATACTTTACAATCTTCTGTTTCAGAGACTCAAAATGTGCATTCTGTATCAGAGATCAAAAAACTAGTGAGCATAAATGTGAAACATGCTCAAAAAGAGATGAAATATATCAACACACTCTGCTTAAATGCTCTAATTGCAAAGAAAAACATGCATCTAGCTCAAAAGAATGTATGTTTGCTCCAAGAACTCAAAAGAACTGGAGAAAAGATGAAGCTCAAAGCAAATCTAGAACTGAAGAGAATAGTCAAGCCAGTAAACTCACAACTGCAAGCTCAAAAAGAAGGAACTCTTAACTATCTAAATCTTCAAACTTCAATTCTTCAGCTAAATGTAAACAGAATTTGAATTCTCAAACTTCTGTTAAGATTAGAGAATTGAGAAATGACTCTGATAATAAACTAGACATAATGTAAGCAGTTGAGATTCCCACTTTTCAGAATAGTTATAATCTACTATCTGATGATAGTGATTAGATTCTACTCTACTCTCTTTTAGTATGAATATACAACAAAAACAACAAAAAAAGTTTAAAAACTCTTCAAAAATTACATTTATTCAAAATAATGTGAATAGAAACTCAAATTGCATTTATTCTTATCTTCAAATTACATTTGAATAAAAAGTTGATTTTATACTGCTTCAGGAGCCGAATTTTGATACTGAGTAAAAATATGTTATTTCTCATTCAAGCTACTACTGCTTTTTACCTCAAAAGTCTGAGATAAAGTCAAGAGTAGTAATCTATGAAAGAAAGAGATCAAGATATCAATTTAATCTAAGATTTAATATTATATCTGACTCTGATATTCTGGTGAGTGATATTATAGATAAAGAGAATGAGTTTAATACTATACAGCTCATAAATATCTATAATGAAAAGTCATTGAAGAAAAATAATAACATCTGAACAATTAATAGAGGATTTCTGAACATAACTTCATCAAGAAACTCTATAATTGCAGGAGATTTCAATGCACATCATCCCTGATGAAATTCAGAATGCAAAAGAGCAGTAAGAGCTGATAACCTGATTGAATGAATCTTTGAGCATTCAATAGATTTAGTTAACAAGTCTGATCAACAAACATTCTTTAGAAAAGATATGAAACAGAAATCTATTATAGATCTAACCTTCATATCATAAAATCTAATAGAAAAAAGACTTGTAAACTGATTTATTGATTCAAATGAGACATCAGAATCAGGTTATGAGATTATTCAATTTGATATTGAACTGAGTGAGGAATAAATGAGTGAAAATCCTCTTCTCTCTAATCAGTTTAACTTTGAAAAAGCTGACTGAAAGGCAGTTGAAGAAAGTATAAAACTGTTAAAATCTGAAAGACAGAGTGAGCTGTATTGAAATCCTGGTCAAGATATCTCAAATGAAATGCTTGAGAATAGAGTGAAGCTCATTACATCTATTATTCTAGCAAGTGTTAAAGATAATATTTCAAAGAGAAAGTCTTCTGAGTATTCAAAATCTTGATAAAATGAGAATATCACATCTAAAAGGAAACAATTGGCTACTGCTAGAAGAGATTGAAAGAATGATATAATTTCTGATAAAGAGTTCAAAGCTGTCAGAAATGAATATTTTTCAGATATTAAAAAAGCTAAAACAGACTGCTGGAATAAATTTCTTGAAGAAGCATAAGAAAAAGAAGTTTTTAAAGCTTTTAACTATACTAAAACAAGAAGTGTAGCAAAACTTCCAATCTTAGAATATGAGTTTCAGAATGAATCATATACAGCAAACTCTTTTGAGAAAAAATGTCAAGCTTTTATAAGAACTTCCTTTCAAAACTCATCAGATTCAGATTCAGAGAAAGAGAATATGTCACTTCTCAACTATATTAATGAAAATGACTGGAAATGACCTGATCTTACTCAAGATGAATTAGAGTCAGCTATCTTCTTAAGTTCAGTTAAGACTGCTGCAGGGCCTGATTCAATTAATCACTTGATTATTCAAAATACATACTTCTACTTAAAGAATGAATATTTTCAGCTCTTCTTCAATCTCTTGAAAAATGGATATCATTCTGAATGCTGGAGAGAAGCCACTGAAGTGATTCTTGCAAAACCTAATAGAAAAACTTCAATTCTCAAGTCATATAGAGTAATATCTCTTTTGAACTGCCTAGAAAAGGTTTTAGAAAAGATAATAGCTACTCAACTATCTTTTATAAGCTCTATCAGTAATTCTCTTTTATTCAGTGAATAAATGAAAGATAGAAAACAGTGTTCTGCAATTGACACTGTTCTCTCAGTTGTTCATAATATTCAAATAGCAAAGCATGAAGATCTGGTCTCAACTGCAGTTTTTATTGATATAAAAGAAGCATTTGATCATGTTTCAAAGTCAAAGTTAATTCAGACATTGAAGATGTTAAAACTGTCACTTTCTCTAATAAGATGAGTTAACTGTTTTATATCTAAAAGAATTATACAACTTTTCTTTGATAGAATGAAACAAGACAAGACTGAGATAAAAATAGAAGTATCATAAGAATCTTCAATCTCACTTATTTTATTTGCAATATACACTGCATATCTATTCAAAAATAGAAATATGAGAATAGTGTGATCTCTGAGTTATGTGAATGATATTGATCTAGTCTACAGCTCAAAAACTATCAAAGAGAATTTGAAAGTG